ACAAGAAGCATGTGAGACAGAGTGTGGAGCTGCTGGGTGTACTCTAAGCGGCAGGTCCTGCTTGAGACACAGTGGATCTGATCCTCTGTGAGACCCACATCGGCGTGTTCTATCAGCTCACAGAGACGAGACTTGAAACTCTGAAGAAATGTCTGGTTGGAACAGTGGTGGGGTAGGTCCGTTTACCCCGGTTCGTGTACAAGCGGGACGAAGAGCTTGACTCAAATTCACACTTTATTTCCACATTAAAAGAACTACATGAAAAGTTGATTTTAGCGAACTGACACAGCCAACTAGATCAGACATACGCTTGCGGAGTCACTGCGGGATTGCAGACGCTGCAGACGTTGCACACGCCTCGGCCGACGACGCAGTAGTGCTTGCAAGGCCCGCACCTGAAGAGTTCCGCGGGGCTTAGTCCCGGCCGCAGTTTTCTACTAACACCTGAAGAAGCGTCACTGCCGTGTTACAGACAAAAAGCTTCTTAGTTGTGCCGAGTGGAACAGCAAAATGAGTTCTCCACTATATTACAGGTATACATTTGTATTGATTTCTTAATGTGTCTTCCACTAATTAAATTTCTTATTGTTTCATTCTTTCTCATTATCCTGAAACTGCAATTCAAGGTCAACATTTTATTTCTAATTTGTGGGAGGAATTTATTAAGAGCTATACTAAAAATATGAAATACATCCATCCGTACAATGAAGCTCTGCAACTCATAAAATTAATGTGGTAAAGAAGTACAACAGTCATATTGAATTCAACTAAATGGTAATGAATATGTTGACAATTCAATCATATTTGCAAAAATGGAACTACAATGAAACTCAATAGCATTTAACATAAGGCAACTATTTTAACATCTCATTTACTTCTCATCAATATAATAGAATTTTAGGCTTCTTTGGTTGGGTATTATTGAAATAAAAACTGTACTCAAAATCATTAAATAAAAAAAATACTACAGCATTTATCTTCCACTATTGATAGATATACACATATATACTCACATTACCCAAAAAATAAATTACTTGGAAAAAGTTAACACGTAAAAGTGCTTAAAAGCGAACATTTGGAAAATAGATTGAATCCAGTGCCTCGACTATTTCTGACCAGATGGGGCCATCTTACGAAATCATACTTTTATTTATCATGAAAAGATCCATGGAAAACGAATTCTAAAGAAAATAACACTGCAGAATGCCAGTGCTGGGCACCGTGCAAGAGCCGTGCGCCTGTGCGAGAGAACACGCACAAACACCTGCACAATGTTACAAAATATCCTGAAAATTGCTTCCTAATGGGGTTTCATTTGGCGCTCAAATTCTACTCCAACACACAAATAGCAGAAATCATACGGATTTAAAAATTTGTAACAATTTGCAATGCTGATTATCTGTCATATAAATAGTATTCATATAAAGCAAGGATAATTTAAAATAAAAATTCAAGAATCATTTACATTTTTTTGTAATTCTGACACTTTCTGCCTTTGATTCTGAGTTTAAAAAGAAATTCTTACTAAATGCATTTGATTTTAAGAACATTCATTGATTAGTAAGAATTTCTCCCATGATTTTCCAACATATTAATCACCTGTCCAATTTCTGCTTACTCCCTTGATGTCATTAAAGTAGCAGTGTTTACTGAGAGCATTCCTTTTAGAATTCCCTCTAAAGGAAGAACAAGAAAGCTCAAGTGTCACCCAGCACAGCCAGCAGCTCACTCGTGAGGCTTGCGGTCAGCAGCCGTCACTCGCATCAGAGCGCGGAGCGAGTCACGCTGCAGCCCCAGAGCAGGCCCCAGCCGGTGCCTGGAGCCCGAGTGTCAAACCCCAGCTGCTGGCAGTACTGACAAGGGCAGTTCCCCAGTCAGGTTTCCTTCACCCTGGAAAGAGTAAGAAGTGTTTCTCTCTGTTTTTACGAATAACTCAGCCTATTCCAAGTCACTGTCTCTGAGCCCATTTGTCACCTTGTCTTTCCCTACACTCTGCCAGCCACGTTTCCGAGAATGGCACTGCCCGTGCTTCCATTCAGATGCCTTCCATCTTCAAAATGAGATCAGTGTGCACCTATGCACCTTCCTCCACCAGCCCAAAGGCTCTGGTCAGAACGTACCCTTAGTTTCCTTCACCATGTCCTTAGACATTGGTGGCCTCAGAGAAGGAGTCAGGGGGCCCGTTGGTCTTTACCACATCCACATTCTTCTTCACCTTGGCTGTCACAGACACCTCCGAGTGAATGGCATCTGACCTCTGCTCGCAGTGGAAGGCCGAGAGGAATGCCTTCCGGTAGTTGCTGTTCATCCAGCCATACAGAAGGGGGTTGGCAAAGGTGGAGCACATGGCGATGATGTGCAGCACTGTGAAGATGAGCTTGTACTCCTTCAGGTCCAGCACCTGACTGTCAATGTCCACAGCAAGCTGGAAGGCGTGGAGGGGCAGCCAGCTGACTGCAAACACCACCACCACGAACACCAGCATCTTGGTGGTTTTCTGCCGCCGCTGGTGGTAGTGGTCATTCACAGCTCCAGGGCTGACATGATTCTTCAGTTTACTCCAGATCCGAATATAGGAAATAGATATGATGCCCAGCGGCAAAACATACAGGATCAACAAGGAGGAAAGGCTATAGATGGTGCCATACATGCTCTTCTCTTCCCCAGGCCACTTCTCGGTACAAGCCACAATCTCAAAGTCCGGAATAATTTCGATCAGTGAGTATTCCCGGAAGATGGCCAGGGGACTTGCCAGCAGGGCGCTGATGCCCCAGGCTAAGCCAATAATCAGGAAGCTGTTTTGCTTGGAGATCTTGCTGTCCAGGTGGTAAACGATGCAGCGGTGCCGGTCCAGAGCGATTACTGTCAAGGTGATGGTGGACACCTGTACTGCCAGGCCCTGGGCATAGGGCACCAGGTGGCAGAGGACAGGGCCCATTTTCCACTCCCCCATTAAGGTGTAAGTGAGAGTGAATGGTAGGCACAGAGTGTTCACCAGAAGATCCGCCACAGCCAGGTTGGCAATAAAAAAGTTGGTAACTGTGCGCATGCTCTTGAATTTGATCACCACGTGGATGACCAAGGAGTTGCCAACTACACCCAGCAAGATGATGGAGCAGTAGGCCAGGATGAGGACCACCCGCACCTCAGTCAGCTTGGTGCTGTCAATCAGCTCCGGCTCCGGGTCAGGGGCCAGCTCCCCACTGGGAGTGGTGTGCCCCGGCCCATATGGTTCAACCTTTACTTCTCCCACTGTCTGGTTCTCATCAGCCTCTGTACCTAGTGGGCCCATTTCCAGTACAGTTCTTCTTTGACCACAACCAGTACAAGAATCTACAATTTAAAGATAAAAAGAACAAATATGAAATGAGCAAGGCACAAGGGTAGGAAATAGAAACGTCTCAAGGGGCCTGATGTGACAGTGGCTGCGGCTCTGTGATACACCTGTCCTCGGACTTACAAAATTGCACATGGTGTAACATCTTAGTAAAGCAAGTCTTTAAACGTCTATTCGCAAGTCTGTGTAAATTAACCTAGTCTTTAGAAAAGTGTGCAAAGATAGTTAACTATAGCAAACGTTCCAATGTAAGAACTATCAAATAGATGCCATTCATTTTAAAAGTCTTGAACACTGTTAACTTCACCAATTTTAGAACTGCTTTGATTGACCAAATTAATTTTAAGGAAAGTTTCTTTACTATCTTAATTATTGTATTTTACTTATAAATACATAGCAATAAATTATATAGGAAAAAAAGTCATAAAAGCTGTGTCTGGTGCCCAAACTTTAAGAGTACAAAATATGGTAAACTCATCAGATTCTGCTTTGGAGTCATTTTTTTCGACCCTATCAGTTGATATTAAAAGGTAACTAGCGTATCTCGAACAATGTGTTCATACGAATCATTTAGAATAAACTTCCCTTATAACATGTAATAGAATCTTGTTGTACATGGGAAGTGGGCCAAGTCTGAAGGTCATCTGACCTAGACCCTGGATGTAAGATTTTTAGTGCCTAACTCTCCTCTGCCTCCCATTCCACCCCCAGTTTTTTCTCTTCCCATGTGACCTACCTCCGTCAACATTATTTTTATTGAATAAACCACCTAAAGTTGAAAAAGCAGGACCAGCCTAGGCATTCTCATCTTTATCAGTCCCCAAATCTAAGAGAAACTTTGGGCTGGCCTCTTGCACATGCCTTTTACCTGTTTCTTCTCACTTGTTTCCATCATGTGGGTTCTGCTCCTCTCAACTTCTAACCGTAAGTGCTCTACCAGTCCTATCATTTATTTCTCTTCTTCTTTTGCTTTCATTGGTTCATTCATTCATTCGCTTCACAGATGAACAGCTGAACCAGGCACGAACTCATCACAGTGAGCACCAGCAAACATTCCACAAGCGTTCACCAGCCTACACCATGAACTAGGGCTGGCGTTGTGCGGCAGGACAGGAGTGCCTTACCTGTCCTCTAAGGTGCTTACGTTTCACTGGACAGAGTTCCCTCCGACATAAATGCTTTGCATAACCTGGCCGTGTTATTTCCCCCAGTGTACCCATATTGTTTGAAGCAATAGATCAGTTTCTGCTGCAAGATTCCTTTTCTCGTTTTGTGAAAACCTTCAGACCCATCATCTTAGTACTAATACCCAGTGAATATATTCATAGTCACCGAAGGCTGCTGTCATTAATTCAGAACCTTGTGATGAATCTGTTATTCATCATAACAGCATCTACTCTGTTGCCTGGTGAATCATGGGTACTCAGCCCACAGATAATTCCTGGCTGGACCCTTGAGCCCCTCTCCTTTCCCCACCTTTCCCTGCTCTGTTTTTCTGGGTACTACAGGAGGACCGAGTCTCACAGAGACATCTGCATGCTCCGGAGTTCTCAGAACTGTGCTTAGGAAATACTCTGCAGGCAGGAGGAAAGATGCTGTCCTTGCAGTCGCTCTCTCTCTCCCTCCCTCCCCTCTCTGGATTCCTCCTCTGAAGCTCCTATGTGGCTGTGGTCCCCACAGGCCAGACTTGCAGTGACTGCACCTTCTGGTTCCTGGGCAGGGTCACACTGCTCCTATCTCTGTCCCTCCAGTGAGAGATAACAAGGACCTTCTTCTCTTTATTCTGATTTTTGAGTGGCTCCCAACAGCTCCATTTGGCTTCCATAAAATAAGTTTACTAAGAATTGATGTCACTGACCAAGTCTCTGGGTGTCTTTCATATATATATAT